CGTCATCTCACTTCTCTAATATTTTGAGAAGAGGAACATAATTATTGATGTCCTAAGGGGAGTGAGTATGAATCTTCCTATTTACTGGCACTTTATACTTATCACTGAGACTTGCTGAGAGGTAACAATACACGCATTGTTCTGAAAGGGAGTTGACCTGCATACTGTACCAGCTGCGAGTGGTTAGTACTGGTGCTAGGTACGAGACTAAGAAATACCCATATTGATCATGTCCTTGAACCAGTTCCTGGAAGTTTAACCACATTTCAGTACAAGCTCAAATATTACACCCTACTGTTGTTAAGTACCTTTGAATTGGTTCTGACTCGTAGTAACCCTGTTTCTGAGGAGCAGCTGGTGAGTTTGAAGTACTGACTTTATGGTTAGTATTCTGCTGCTTATCCTGCAGAGCCACACCAGGACTCCATACCCATTGGGGGCCAGCATTTTACAAAGTCAAACACCTCGGCTGTTACACAGTGAAAAATGTGGTTAAACCATTTATATTATTCTCTTTCCTCTTCCTCACAGGCCAAACTAATAATTTGGTTTTTGTTTTATCAAGTGTAACAGTAGAATAATTCTGGGAGAGAAATGTTCTTATTTATAGAGCAAAGGGAATTAACCATAACCCTTTCAAGACTAAATTATTTTCTGCTTTGACTTTTTTGTTGAAACTGTTTTCATTAATGGAAAGCATTTTGAATGAAAAAAATTTTCAAACGTATTTTGATACAAGTAGTGGGGACATTTGTCTTGAGGTGTGTCTTGTGTTGGAGTGTGTGGGATGAGGACCCTGGTCTCCATATTCCTGCAGTTATCCAGGCCCCCACCAGATGGCAGCATCCTAAAACACCAATAAACTCTAATGTACCTGGGCACTATATGTCCCATGGATCACGAAAGGGTAAAACTTGCTTAACTAGGGGTTCCTTCAATCACTGCTTTCTGAACTGTTATAAATTGCTCAGGGACAAGCTAAACTTGTGTAGATTGATAAAAATTAAGGAGTCCTATGTGTCACTTGTAGGATAAACACTGGACTGTTAACCTACCTCAAGACTGGCAGTTCAAACCCACCAGTCACTCCTCGGAAATCCTATACAGGATTGCTATAAGTCGGAACTGGCTTGACAGGATTTAACAGCAATAACAAAGAAAAACTAAAGGTACTTGTTGAGGTTTTAAATAATGTTAAAGTGCTCCCGTGGAGTGTTGTTAGGTGCCATCAAGTTGATTTGACTCATGGCAACTCTGTGTGACAGAACTGCCCCATAGGGGTTTCTGAGGACCTGGTGGCCATCAGGAGCAGCAGCAGTGGGAAGGCAGGAGTGAACTCCCTGCCCGGTTTGCTTCTCCTGCCAACCAGGCATAGCTTACGGGCACGACGGCTCTGGCCTTCTGCCTCACCAGTGCTGCCAGAGTTCGGGTTTGGGGTCTTTTAAACCATCATTGTCATCATCGTCTTGTTAAGTGCCTTTGAGTTGGTTCTGACTCATAGTGACCCTGTATGGGGTTTCTATGGAGCAGCTGGTGGGTTTGAACCATTGACTTTGAGATGTTGTAATGGTCCAGTGCTTATCCTACAGCACCACACCAGGACAGGGAAATGATAAAAGGAAAGTCGCTTTTCCTTTTTTAAAACAAAAACAAAAAGACCTATGGGACCACAGTGTATGTGGTCAGACATTGTCTGACCAGACATTAAGTGATATATATATACCGGTACTTTAATATTGTACAAATACTTTGTGTTTCAATAGAATAACTTTTGGCTTACTCCTTACTGTTTTGGTTTGGTAATATCAGTGCCCTGTCATATGGTGAGAAAAATATATTTGGAATTTCTGACCTGTTTAGATAAGTCTGTTGTTATGTGCTGTTGAGTCAGTTCTGACTCATTGCAACCCTGTATAGGGCTTCCAAGGAGCTAGATTGTAAACTTTTGAAAATTTACAAAAGTTAAAAAGTACAGAAGTGGCGTACAGTGAAAGTAAAGTTTCCCTTTCCCCTTCCTCCCCAGTACCTGCCTCCCATCCACAGATGTTGTCATTACCAGTTTTTTGTAGCTTACAGTTGTTAGTGTCATCAAGTCAGTTTCGACTCATAGCAACCCTTTATAGGGTTTCCAGTGAGGGCCTGGTGGGTTTGATGTCGACCAGTGGTTTGCAGTCCAGTTCTTATCCTACAGCACCACACTTCCTTATCCCGCCGTTTCGGTTTCACTTTCGCTTTGTGAGGTTTCAGTTACCCGCAGTCAACTGGGATCTGAAAATATTTAAATTGGCCACGACTTTGAGTAACGCAATGAAATCACAACCCCTCCTGCTCTGGATTGTGAGTCACCTTTGTTCAGCGTATGCACCTGTACACGCCACTTTCCCGCTAGTCACTTAGTAGTCATCCCTGGTGATCCGATCACGTGACCTGGTACCGCGGTGCGTGTGTTCCAGTAACCTTATTTTAGTTAATGGCATCAAAGGCCATTTGGATATGCCAAAACACTGTTGAGTGAGCTGTTGCGTGTTCTGTAGCGTCCTAAAGGTTAATGCTGCCTGCCCCAGCATACATACCTGTTGTATGTATGTATAGGAAAAAAACTGTATGTATAGGATTTTGTTTAATCGCAGTTTCAGGCCATCCACAGTGGGATCTTAGAAAATGTCCCATTTGAATAACTAGGACTTAGTATTGTTGAGTGTCATCAAGTTGGTTGTGACTCATAATAACCCTGTGTAGGGTTTCCGGGCTATAAATCTTGGTGAGAGCAAAAAGCCTCATCTTTCTTCTGACGAGCAACTGGTGGATTGGAACTGCCGACCTTGTGGTTTGCAGTCCAGTGCTTATACTACACTGCCACACCAGGACTCCTGTTCCCAAATTGATTATGTCCTTGACACAATTTGTATTACATAAACACTTACGCATTCTTTTTTTAAGTGTGTAAATTATCTTGAAGTGTCCATAGAATGCTAATACACTTCAAATTACTGAGTTTGTTTTACTGGTTTATTTATGTTGAATGCTTGTTTGCCAGTTTCTTGAACTAATCTCATTGATGGACATTTCAGTGTTTTTAACCATTTTTCTGTGTGAAATTCCTTAAAATTAGGAGCACATCTAAATTTAGACTCTGCCTGTAGGGAAAAATTAGCTGGCCAATTAATACATCTTTTACTGTTGTCAGAATGGGTCCTAGTGTGGCGCTGTAGATAAGCATAGTACTGCTAACATTTTGGTTAGTGTTTCAGACCTGCTCCTTGGAAACCCTATACAGGGTTGCTGTGAGTTGGAACTCTTTCGCTGGCGCTTAACCACAACAGATAGATGAGGGGGAAACGCTATACCTCTGTAGAATAAACACTGGACTGCTAACCACAAGGTCAGCAGCTTGAGACCACCAGCTGCTTCTCAGTTTACTCTTGTCTGCTTCCTTAACTTGCCTGAATAGGGTTTCTGAGGCTGTAAATCTTTAGGGAGCAGTAAGCCTCATCTTTCTCCTGTGAAGCAGCTGATTGGCTACATGCAAACCCAGGAAGGGTTCTTTTAAAAACTTTGTCTTCTGTTTAACATCCTGTTTTGCTGGGGGCGGGAGGGTATGTGGCATGAAAGACTGTGGTTGTGGTCTTGTCTTATCGACATTTCTCTTTATTAACTTGGTTTGGTTCCATTGGACTGGGTTAGAGCACAGTGAGGGTGAGCCTTTTAAAAATCTTTCAGTCCTCTACTGAAAATTTAGCATTCCAGCTTGTGTTTGGAAAAGGGCTGGTCCACGGGAGTTCCCAAATTAGTGATAGGATGTTTCTGATAATTAGTCCCCTCCCTTGCATTTGGAGGATTTAAGTATCAGAATAGTTTCCCCAGAGCTCCTTTTGTCTGGTAGTTTCTTTTAAAAAGAGAGGAAAGAATAACCTGTAAATGTAGCAAATCAAATGTCGAGGCAGCCTTTAGGTTAAGTGGGTATTTATCTCATTTGCTTTCAAGAAATGTCATGATAAAGAGTCTTTATGGTGTCAAAAAGTCATTTTGGCTTTTTGGGGTCACTCAGAGTTTTACCTCATTTTTGCATCAGTTATGTCACATGCTACACTGGCCTCTTGGACAGGGTCAGCCTACTCTTCCATTTTGCAAGCATTTTATTTGCTAGTTAGATGTAAAGATATACATGTTTAATTATTAAAAGGGGGAAAAAAAATTCTCATCAACTGTTGAAAAAGACCTTGGGTTTGCATCGGTGTCCACCATTGCCTTTCAGTTCTTTGCCCCTCCTGCCAGTGTTCTCTGTCCTGGTTTCCAGATGCCACTTACTGTTGACTTGGTTCCAACTCACAGTGACCCTAGATAGAGTTGTAAATCTTTGCCAGAGCAGAAAGCCTCATCTTCCTCCCACAGAATGGCTAATAGACTTGCACAGAGGACCTTGTGATTTACAGTCTAGTGTTTATCCTACAGAGCTAGCATGCTTCTGCCACCAAGCATGGAGAACAGCTATCTGTTGGTTGGCAGATTGTTCTGTTGTAACACATTAAAAAAATATGTATGCATTTTTAGTTCTCAACTCTTAATGGTTTTATAGCTTCTTTGTGACCCCTAACTCCTTCTCCCACCTTCTTTTTCTTTGGGTGAGGTATGGTGTTTAATGCTGGATTTTACTTACTGTTCCTGACCAGTTTGATTTCTAGAACAGTGTTCTTGACAGTTATCAGAATTTTCATGTACAAACAGATGAGTTATCTCCATTTTACATCCAGTTGGTAAGAATGGAGAGGAAGGGGCCTTCTGGAGGGTATTTGTTGGGACAGAGAATTGTGAATCAGCTGGAAAGCTGGTGTCTCTCCTTCTGCTCCTGACTGCTGTCTGCTCTCCCACCCCCCGAAAAGTGTGCCTTTCCAATGTTGCTTATTTCCCAAGAACTGAAAACGACTGAATTCCTAAACTCAGACTTCTAGGACTGTTTTTATTGTTCAACAGGAGAAAATAAACTTTTTGGTTTTATGCAGGTCCTGGTAAATACTGCTTGCTGTGTTTTGATGTTGGTGGCTAAGCTAATCCAGTGTATTGTGTTTGGACCTCTTCGAGTGAGCGAGAGGCAGGTGAGTCAAACCCAGGTGACATAGGGAAGATCGGTTCTTGTGATCAGAGTCCCCTTCCCTGCCACCTTTTACGTGGTACAGTTTCAAACATAGAGAAAAGTCGCATGCATACTTCTGTAGACCCTTTAACCAGTTTCATCGGTGGTTAACATGTTGTCCCAGATGCTGAATTTTTGCGTTTTATTTATGTATGCATTTTTTTGTACATTTTTAAGTTGCAGATATCGTACCTTTTTTAACCTCTAAATATAAGGGAGCTTCAGAAAGTTCATGAAGAATTCCATGATCTTTTCATTCCGTTTTTCCACGAACTTGTTGATGCTCTCTCATGTGTCATTTGTAGGTATTACCTACATCACCTTTTACCTCCAGACACATCAGCATGTGTTTCTAAGAGCAAAAGAAGCTTAGATTGTTCTAGTTTGTATGATCATACATACCACTTTTTAGAATATACATTCTTTTTCAAAAGAATTCAGTAGTTAAGATTAAGATTCATTGGTGTGTTCTAGTTTGTGGTGCTCTGGTAGCGTAGTGGTTACGAATCTGGTAGGCTGTACATGGCAAGGTCAGTAGTTTGAAACTACCAGCTGTTCCACGGGAGAAAGATGAGGCGTTCTGCTCCCATAAAGATTTACAGCCTTGGAAACCCTGTGCAGGGTCGCTATGGGTCGGAATTGACTCCAAGGCACATAACAACAACAACAACAACAAGTCTTTGGTGAGATTGGCGCTAGAACATGACTCTCGCTCATATATGGGCAAGGGATGCTTTCAATAAAGAATTTGTTTCGAGCACATCCTACAGATTTGTAGTTCCCCAAGAATTGTAGTGGAGAATGGTGTGTTTTAAAATACTGACTTAGAACTGACTTTCAGAACAGTAACTGAAGAAGAAAGCTGTATTTTACTTTGTTGTCTTACTTCCTTTCACTGTCATGTCCCCATGATGAGACACGGGGTCTTACTACGTTCAAAGTCCAGCTTTCTCAAAGGCCACTTTCCTTGCCTGCCTTTTTAATCCAAGCCCTTAATTAGAGCTGAAGTGTGGTTACCGTGGGGTTTGCTAGCTGAGCAGGACTCTCTTGTTTTCCCAGAGATTTTTTCATTATTGAATATTCAGCACTTTCTCTAAAATATTAGTGCTACAAGTCTTTTCATATAGGGCCAGTAGGATACAAAGATCCTTTTACTAAGTCTTTGATTTGTGAGCCAGAAAACTGGTCCAAACAAGCGGGCCATCGAATTGCTACCGACAGACCTCACAACAGTGGGCCTTCTATTTTATTTTATTTTCCCAAAAGTGCTAGCTATTGGTTAAAATTCATAGAAAGCATAATATTGGAATATTTCAGAGAGTTTTAGAATATCTCGAGGTAATCGTGTGTGGCATACTGTTACCTGATTGTCCTTTCAGGTTTTTTTGTAAATGATAGATCATATCTTTCATGCTGTTCTGTGCTGACTTATGTTCCGATGAATGCCATCTAGGAGCATTTATTAAGCACCATTTTTGGTTAGAACCCTGCAGAAGTGACTTGGTCTTTGCTCTGTGGATAATTCAAGTTCAAGGAATGCAAAAGGCAAAGACATGGAAGCTCAGAATGTAATATTAAAAGGTTTTGTGGACTTTTAGAACAAAGACATTTTTAGTTTTTTAAGCACTTAATGTGCCAGACGCTTGTCTAAGACTTTACATGTATTGATTTATTTAATCTCCCTAATAATCTATGAGGTACATGAGGGGACTTCATAAGTTTCTTAGAAAAATTCCATTATCTTTTAATTCCATTTTTTCACAAACGTTTTGTAGCCCTCTCATTTATTAGTATTGTTGTTGTTAAGTGCCATCGAGTCGGTACCGACTCATAGTAACCCTGTGCACAACATAATGAAACACTGCCCAGTCCTGGGCCAACCTCACAATTGTTGCCACACTTGAGCCCAGTGATACTGCCATTTTGCCAATCCATCTCGTTGGGGGCCTTCCTCTTTTTCTCTGACCCTCCACCTTACCAAACATGATCTCCTTCTCCAGTGACTGGTCCTTCCTGACAATATGTCTGAAGTATGAGAGACGAAGTTTGGCCATCCTGGCCTCCAAGGAGCACTCTGGCTGCACTTCTTCCAACACATATCTATTGGTTCTTTTGGCAGCCCATGGCACTTTCAGTATTCTCCTTCAACACCAGTTGTGTCAGCTCAAAAGCATCAGTTCTTCTATGGTCTTCCTTATTCACTGTCCAGCTTTTACATGCATATGAGGTTATTGAAAATACCATGGCTTGGGTCAGATATAAGACCCATTTTATAGATGTGGAAATCAAACAGCAGAGATGCTCAAGGACACATAAGCATATAGGTGGCTGAGATAGGACTCAAAACTGGGACACAACATGTCCCTGTGTTTTCCCTGCCTGAGATGTGGAACCAGAATTCACCAAGGAGTCCTAATTCATGTTCGTGGTGGGAACCAAGAGCTCCACTAACTGTTGGGGTTTGTTACTGTCCTTTCGGTGGACAGAGCTAGGGAAGATTTCTGATTTTCTTTCCAATTTTTATTTTGTCTCTGACTGCAGAATATACAGTTAGACTATAGTGTGTAAACGTTGTTGAGGTAATTCTTATCTTTAAGAAGTTATGTTATCAATATGTATTTAGGGTTAGTTCTTCCTGTGTGGACTCAGTTTCAGGATTTGCTCTTTTTTTTTTTTTTTCTGTTTTGTTTTTAATTTTGAATGTGTAAAATATTTACAGGGTTCAAAATGATATGAAAAAAATAGGCTCCACATTGCAACCAACCCATGGATGACTTAATAGCATATTTAATATCTGGTGAGGCTAAACCCCTTTCATTGCCCTTTTTTTAAAAATCAGGAGTGAAAGATTTTTAAAACTGAAAGTCCTCCTTAGTATAGGAAACAGAACAGGAAAAGTACCCATACCCAATGTTGGTCAGGGCATGCACTTATACAACTACATGGGAAATGATGGCAATATGTGTGAAAAACTGTAAAAAATGTTTGTAATCTTTTAGTCCATGATGCTGAATAAAGAGAGACTCATACGTACAAAGACATTCATTACAAGTGTTTTCTGAGTGGTGGAAAAAACAGCTTTGTTATTCAGCCGTAGTCCTTTCAGTGGTATACCCAGAGAATGTTTTGCATTGGGAAAGTGCTTACAATATGAGAAGTGAAAGGAAACAGTGTACAAAAAGGACTGTGTTTTGCATATTTTTCTGGGCAGAGACAAGAAAAATGCATCAAAATGGAAAACATTTTATTTTAATATTTTTTGGTACTTTTTTAGACTTTATTTGAACTGGCAAATGAGCAAGCATTCTTTTTTAATCTGAAGGATGTTTTTTAAAAAATTGGAAAACTCTAATCTGATTTAGAGAGAAGTGTTAAAAAATGATGCTTGTAGCTGCTGCTGTAGTTTTCTATTGTATTTTGAACATACAAGGTGTTTTCATTTATTAGCACCTAAGGTCCTAGACTGATAACACTTTCATAGATAGTGTTTTTTATTATGGAGCAGTGCAACCATCCAAGTTATAACAAATAGTGTAATGAAACCCACCATCAGTCTTGATAAAATATTGTTTTAACTTATTTGCTTCAGAAGTTTTAAAGTGAAAGCATCATAGCCATGTATATATTGAATTGACTCCAACTCGTGGCGACCCCATGTGTGTCAGAGTAGAAGTGTGCTCCCTAGGGTTCGTTACCCTTTTTTTTAATGGGTTATAAAAAAAGAAACATCAAGGCAGCCGTTCCATTTCTGATTCAGGGTTACTGTCCAAAGTCTACAAATTCGTTTCTGGATGTCTCACCTCGGAGTGCTCCTTTTTTTCTTTGCTTTCTGTTTTCTTATGGGAAGATTGTTAGACTACATCCTCCTTGGAAACCAGCTTTTATTATGTTAGCATCCGTGAACTGGGTTAGCTGTGCAGATACTTAACTCACTTTATCAACTATTTTCTTTTCAGCACCTCAAAGACAAGTTTTGGAATTTTATTTTCTACAAGTTCATTTTCATATTTGGTGTGCTGAATGTCCAGACAGTGGAAGAGGTGGTCATGTGGTGCCTCTGGTTTGCTGGCCTTGTGTTTCTGCATCTCATGGTTCAGCTCTGCAAGGACCGATTTGAATATGTGAGTGTTTTAGCCCAGGTCTTTGTGTGCTTTGTCACATTCTCCAGGTTTGAATTCTGTGGAAGAAATTAGCCACAGCAGGCACACTGGGGATAGCACTCCAGGTCAGCCGGGGTTGGAGTGGGGACTGGGGGGAGGTAGGAAGTTGGGGACTGAGTGGGATGAAGGTGGGGATAGGTACCTCTTGCCTGTTTCTTGAACTTTCTTCAGCAGCTCAGAGATACTACATTGCTGCCCATGTGGGGTCAGCTCATCATTATGCTAGAAGGTTTGTATATGTGAAGGGGCTTCAAGAAGTTCATGGAAAATTCCATTTTTCCTCTAACTTTTTGAAGCCCCCTCATATACATTGTATAAAAACTGATAACAACCCCCCATGCCAGAATTGAATCTGGACTCTCAGTTTCCCTGGCCCTGAGAGAGAAGCAGAACCTTTTACTACCTGGGCATGAGAGCAGGGGACCCTTCCTTCCTAGTGCTCCTGATCTTGTCTCTCATGGATCCATCCTGGACAGTTACACCTGGTTGCCCCTTTCTCTGCTTGCCCTGCTCATGGGCAGGTGACCCTTGTACCTCGGTGTGAGTTAATCTCACTCTCAAAGCCTTAAGCTGTTTCACAGTTTACCCCTATCCATGGTCACCAGCTGGAGCCTTTAACTTCCCAAACTGGTTTGTTATCTACACCTACTTCCTCAGGATTCACAGCTCTAGGCCTTCTTTTCTAAGCTATTGCGTAACTTAGCATTGCATAACCTAGCATTGCATCAGTAGAAAATCTGCACCCTCATTACAGTTCAACTGTCCTGTCCCTACACAGTCCTGATGTGGAGCTCTAGGGTAAACACTGGACCGCAAGGGCTGTTTGAACTACAAGGTCAGACTCACCAGCTGCTCCTTGGAAACTTTATACAGGGTCATGAGTCGGCACTGACTTGAGGGCACTTAATAGCAATAATGATAATAAAAGTCCTAAACAGACTAGGAATGTCTTCTAGTTAACTTTTGAAGTTTAGGAAAGAGGGCTAGAGCAAGATTAAAAAAAAAAAAATATGCCTCTCCTCTAAGTCTTGTTGAATGTTAAAAGATGAACTTGGATACCCTTAGACAGTTTTCCAAAGCCTTCTAATCCCGGCGGTAGCAGGATCCTGGAGAATATGACATGAAAATGTCACGCGTATTTTTCTATTTGCTAAATTGTAGAGACTTCTAAGTATCAGTTCACTGTGAGAGTTAAGGTAGTTTGGAGGATGATTGTCTAGTTGCTGTTTTGTGCTTTGTGTTTGGCCATGCAGCCAAGCACAGAACCCCCACCCCACTCTCCAGTGGAGAAGCCAACAGTAACCTTGCTTTGAGCTTCTCTGAATTTTTGACACTTTCACGCATTAAAATGAGCTCCCAACATTCCCTGTTTTGTGTGTTTCAGCTTTCCTTCTCTCCTACAACACCAATGAGCAGCCATGGCCGAGTCCTGTCTCTGTTGATTGCTATGCTGCTTTCCTGCTGTGGGTTAGCAGTTGTCTGTTGCATCACGGGCTACACTCATGGGATGCACACGTTGGCTTTCATGGCTGCAGAGGTAAGAGCTCCATCTGCTCTGCTTATAGTTCTGGATTTTTTCAATAAAAGCTGGAAGATTATTGGCAGATTGTTTTCACCCATGAAATGATGGATGGATGGTCTTTGATTTTAACTAGCATTTATTGATTTTCCTATAGTGTGTGGAGTATTGGAACACAGAATGCTTTTATGGTTTCCATTTCATGTAACTCTTGCTACAGCCCAATAAAAATGATTTGTTTTTGCCAGAATTTGTATACATAGTGCTTTTGATGCCAAGCATTTTTCTAAAGCACTTTACATGTTTGGCTCATTTTATTATTCCTTTTGACGGATGGGATGGGGGAACTGAAGCATGAAGGCGGAAGTGAACTCTTAGAGGTTCCTGAGTAGCAGTTGGTGCAATCCAAGCCCTCTGCCTCCACAGCAGGAGGTATGTCTCCCTTGGGTTACAGACAGTGATTTCTGTTGACTAGTAATGAAATGGAGTCCTGGCGTGGTGCTGCAGAATCAGCACTGGACTGCTACCATAAGGTAGGCAGTTCAAACCCACCAGCCGTTCCTTGGAAACGGCTTGTGAATCAGAGTAGACTCGCCAGCATTTAACAGCAACAACAGTAATAAAATAGTCTAGAATCTTTTTTTTTTTTTTTTAAGATAGGGTGTAAATTGAGATTTAAAGAATATTATAGTAAATATCTAAACTATTATTTTGAAAGGAAAATACGGGATATCTAGGAATATTTAAAAATGGAAGAAAAATTTTACTTTTTTAAACCATTTGGAAAATATTACTTTCTTATGGTTAAAGGCAAGATCTACCTTTTTATTACCCATAATTGCTGTTATCAATGAAAAAAAATAAAATGTTTAGTGTTATACTAAAGCTAAGTAGCTGTAAAACCATTGATTACTTTTGACTCTATTAATTGGGAATTTGCTAGAAAAGAGCTGTTTTTAATTTTTACTTAACAGTGTTCATTTCAGAGTATATTATAGTTGTAAAGTGCCATTGAGTCAGTTCTGACTCATAGCATCTCTGTATAGGGTTTCTGAAGTTATATCTTTGTGGGAGCAGAAAGCCTTGTAAAATCAGAAATGGAATATTTAAATGCTTGATACAAGCATTTGTAATTCTAGTTGAATACTTTTCTGTATATAAAAGGCATACAAATATATTTCCCTAAAAACTTACTTAAAATTATTTTTTTTACCAACTTATGTTTGTTTTCGAGTCCTGGTATATAAGAAGCTGTAGAATAAGCACTGGCCTGCTGATGACAAGTTTCATCCCACCACTTGCTCCTCAGAAACTGTTCATTATTGGTGTTAAGTGCTGTTGAGCTGGTTCCCACTCAGAGTGACCTGTCTTGGGTTTCTGAAGAGTGGCTGGTAGGTTTGCACCATTGACCTTGCAGTTAGCAGTCCAGTGCTTATCCTATAGTGCCATGCCAGAACCCCAACAGCCCTGTAGGTAATTGATTATGGTGATGTCATGCTGTGTAAAATAGAAGTGGTTGTCCAAGATTGGAGAAGATATTTCCTGGAAATGGATAGGTACCATTGGTTGTCACTTGTTATTAAGAAAATTTCAGTAAGAGTTAGGTTTTTAGATCATGAAAATAACTCCATGAAAGCAGAGAAAATGAATGTTCTACTCTTTGTTAATTGAAGCAGAAACAATGAATGTTCTCCTCTTTGTTAATTGAACTGAGAAATTTTTGTCTTTCATTATTTTATAAAAGTAAGTTTAAAATCTTTTATTTTAACAGTCTCTTCTTGTGACAGTGAGGACTGCTCATGTGATTTTGCGGTGAGTAGGGATTTAGGAGGGAGGTGATTGAAATCTACTCATAGCTGACATTAAACTGTAACATATGATAGATGGAAGAAAACTGTGTAACAGAACTCAAATTCTGAACAAGCCCAGACTTACTGGACTGGTTGAAACTAGAGGATTGCCAGAGACTATTACTTTGAGGTGCTCTTTAAACCTTGAACTGAATTGATCCCTTCAGGCCACCTGTTAGCTAAATAACATATTGGCTCATAAAATGAAGAATATCAACCATGAGAAATGAGCTCCTTTAAAAAATCATCTAATCGAGACCAAATGGTCAAAAATTACTGTAAAACAAAGTAGAGAAGGTAGTGGGGCAGGGAAACTAGAGTACTAGAAGTGGTACAACCAGAATGGAATAAGTGAGAATGATGACCAATATCACTGAATAGCTTGTGTAGAAATTGTTAGGTGAGAACCTAATGTGCTGTGTAAATTTTCACTTTAAACACAATAAAAGATTAAAAAAAAAAAAAGAGAGAGAGAGATGTAACATATAAAATATATGAGACTTCTAGGGCAAGATAGCAGAGTAGGTAGATGTACTGAGCCAGCCCTCAACAACAAAGACATGGGGGACCAAGTAACACAGGTACAGATGGTGATTCTGGGAGCCTGCGTTTCAGAGGAGAGGTCAGGGAGATGGGTTGAGTGCTGATTAGAAGAGGAAGCGAACAGGAGCATTGAGTGAAAACTAAAAACAGGTGGTTTATAAGCTGGCCTGGAGCTGTCCATACAGCAGCCAGCAGGCACTGATGCAGCTGGAAGTTGGTGACATGGGGGTGCAGTTCTTTCTCTTTTCCCCAGGCCCTCCTTTTAGCCAGGGGCATACCCAACCCCTACATTTACCAACCCAGACACCAATGGTACCCTGTCCTGTGCAGCCTCTGTTCTCCCTAGGGTCAGAGGAGAGGCTAGGCATAGTGCCCCTGCTTATGGAGGTGCATGAACCCACCCTGAACTATGCTGTACAAACAGTGAACAGAAAACTGTTCACAATCCCCATCTCTATCACATCTACCTACCAGGAGCCAGGTGGTAAAAATCTGATAGCACACCAATATACAATCCTCCAATAAATATTATTGCTATACCATATGTGTCTCAGAGAAAACAGACACTTTTAGCTTACATGAAGAAGCAGGACAGAGTACCCCAAACAAATGACCAAAATTCAGAATCAGAAAATATAGTACCAGAAATGGTTTTGAACAAAAGAATGCTATTGAGACATTTTCAGTGGATTGAGAAAACTGCATATGAAATCAAGGAATACAGAACTATAGAAGAATTCAGGAAACAAATGGACAAAATGAATGGAAAAAAAAAAATTTGAACCATACAAAAACAGCAATTAGAAAGCAAAAAAATTAGCAGGAAGACTTCAGAAGTAGATAATATACTGGAAAGACAAAGAGGTAGAATTGAATCAATGGAAGACTGAATTACTTATTATGAACAACAACAAAAAATCTCAGTATTCATCTGCTAAAAGAAAACTCAGAAAAAAGAACAAAAAAAATCTGAAGAAAGTCAAGAATTATGTGGGCCTATATTAAGAGGAATAGCTTATATGTGATTGGAATTTCAGAACAGGAAGAAACAAAACCCATAGAAAATGTTGACGAGTTAATGGAAGAAAAATTTCCTAACATTATGAAAGATGAGAAGATAGCAATTCAAAAAGTTGGACAAATTCCACAAACAGGATAGGCCCCAAAAGGAAAACATATAATCAGTCTTTCTGAAACCAAAGACAAGGAAAGCATTCTGAGAGCAGCTCAGGAAAAATCCAATGTAATCTACAAAGGGGAACTAGTAAGACTGAACTGATTTCTCTGCCAAAACCATATGGGCAAGAAGGCAATGGAATGACATATATAAAACTCTGAAAATTGCCAGCCAAGAATCATAATACCCAGCAAAACTGTCCATCAAATATGATGACAAAATTAGTTCATTTTCAAATAAATGGAAATGAAAAGAATTTGTAAAAAAACCAGGCCAACCTTACAAAAAATACTGCAGGGACTTCATATGAACAGAGAACCAACAACATAAGATAACAGCCTGAGACTAACATACCTGACAGTATTACCCACAACTCAACCCAGATACAGCGTTTAAAGTAAAACAAACATGCTGTTGTTGTTAAGTGCCATAGAGTTGGTTCCGACCCATAGTGACCCTGTATAGAGTTTCCAAGTAGCAGCTGGTGAGCTTGAACCACCGACCTTGCAGTTCAAAAGGCTTTGCAGTCTGGCGCATTAACCCACAGCACCACACCAGGACTCCAGAAACTTACAAGACTGAAAATAGGGAATCATAGATGTAGTTAAAGCACAAAAAAGAGGAAATCGAGTAGTTTCAAGAAAAAAATAAAAACTCAACTGTACCCCTAAAAACGAAACCAAGTCTTACTGTTAGCCCTAGCCCAACTCTTTCCCCTAATACTAACCCTAGTCTTAACCATATTCCTAACACTAAACAAAGTCCTAAACCTAGCTGTAATCCTAACTTGAACCCTCACTCTTCACTCCTACCCATCCTCCCACAAAGAAATAAAACAAAACGAAGATACGGGAGTGGGGGCACACAAGAAGAAAAAGAATGTGATTAGACTATATCATGTTTGAATCTTAGTTAGTTGTAATCATTTATTAAAGTTGTTGCTGAGTGCCATCTAGTTGGTTCCGACCCATAATGACCTCGTCCATATAGAGTTTCCGAGGAGTGTCTGGTGAGTTTGAAACACCAACCTTGCAGTTCAAAATGATCTTGCAGTCTTGTGTATTATCCCAGAGTGCCACACCAGGACTCCAGTTATTAAAGTACTTTTCTCTATTTATTGCAGATACGTCATTCACCTCTGGGACCTCAACCATGAAGGGACATGGGAAGGAAAGGGGACATATGTTTATTACACAGATTTTGTCATGGAACTTACTCTCTTGTCCCTGGACCTCATGCACCATATTCACATGTTGGTAAGTTCCCCCTAAGAGCTCAGTTTTTTCAGGATCAGTAACTTTGATTAGTCCATTAATGAATAAAATATTTGGACTGAGGTTTGAATGGACCACATAACAGACTGTAAAAATAAATACTGTGTGCATCTGTTCTGTCTGTACTGGGCAAAGCAGTGTCTCAGAGCCGCTTTGGCTGGTGACATGTGCTGCTCTCCAGGTGGACGTGGTTTAGCAAGATCAAGAGGTGGTTATTGTAGACTGTAAGGGGGTAATAAATACATGCAATAAGAAATAGTTATTATATAGTAAATATAATGCTGTAATATATTAATACTATGTTAATGCATCAACGTATTATTAATATATTAATGAATTCACTAGTTAATATTTTGTCTGTAATAAAGGGGAAGCAGCAGTCAATAAATCAAACGACGTATTGCATTAGGCAAATCTGCTACAAAAACCTTTTTGTTGTTGAAAAGTGTTGAAAAGCAAAGATGTCAGCTTGAGGACTAAGGTGCGCCGGACCCAAGCCATGGTATTTTCAGTAACCTCATATACATGTGAAAGCTGGACAGTAAATAAGGAAGACTGTAGAAGAATTAATGCATTTGAGTTATGGTGTTGGAGGAGAATAATGAAAGTGCCATGGGCTGCCTATAGAACCAACAGATCTGTGTTGGAAGAAGTGCAGCCAGAGTGCTCTTTGGAGGCCAAGATGGCCAGACTTTGTCTCTCATACTTCGGACATATTGTCAGGAGGGACCAGTCACTGGGAAAGGATATCATCTTTGGTAAGGTGGAGGGTGAGAGAAAAAGAGAAAGACCCCCAACGAGATGGATTGGCAAAGTGGCAGCATCAATGGGCTCAAGTGTGGCAACAAGAGATTGGCCCAGGATTGAGCAGTGTTTTGTTCTCCTGTGCATAAGGTTGCTATGAGTCGGTATCAACTCAATGGCTCCTAACAACAACAATAAAGGGGAGCGTGATGGTTCCGCTGATAAGCCCTGAACTGTGAGCCGCAAGGTTCATGGTTTGAGCCTGCCAGCCACTCTGCAAGAGAAAGATGAGGCTTTTTGCTCCTGAAAAGATTTAAAGCCTTGGAAATTCTATACAGGGTCGCTGTGAGTCAGACCCAACTCAATGGCACTTAACAACATAATAAACGTATACAATAGCTATGTTGAGTCTGACTCAAAGCGATCCTGTGTACAGTTTCTGAGGAACAACTGGTAGATTTGAACCATTGACCTTGTGGTTTGCAGTCTAGTGCTTATCCTGCAGTGCCACAACATGACAAACGTTTATTATATAATAAATATATTGGGCTATCGAGAAGTTTGGAAAAATTCCATTACCTTTCCATTCCATTTTTCCATGGACTTTTGAAGCCCCTCATGTTACATAATAAATGAGTTGTTGTGCAGTCTAGTTAGCTCTGACTCGTAGTGACCCTATCTATACACAACAGAATGAAACACTGCCCAATCCTGCGCCTTCCTCAATTGGTGTTATGCTTGAGCCCATTGCTGCTGCCACATGCCAGTCCATCTTGCTGGGGGTCTTCCTCTTTTTTTTTTGCTGACCCTCCACTTCACAAAGCATAATGTCTTTCTCCAGTGACTGGAGAAATGAAGTATGAGAGACGACGTCTCACCATGCTGCCCTCTAAGTAGTATTCTGAGTGCACAGATTAGTTTGTTCTCCTGGCCGTCCATGGTACTTTCAGTATGCTTCACCAACACCATAACTTTTTCTACAGTCTTCCTTGTTCATTGTCCAATGATATGCATTGATAGGCATTTCACATGCATATGAGGAGATTGAAAATACCATGAATTAGGTCAGGTGCGTCTTAGTCCTCAAACTGATACCTTTGCTCTTGAAAATTTAAAGAGGTCTTGTGTGCCAGATTTGATGAGTACAGTACATCATTTCATTTCTTGTTTGCTGCTTCCACGAGTGTTGGTTGTGGATCGAAGCAAAATAAAGTCTTTGACAGCTTCAGTCTTTTCTCCATTTATCATGGTGTTATTAGTCTAGTTATGAGGATTTTTTTTCTTTGCATTCATATGCAATTCATATTGAAGACTGGTCTTTGATCAATATATATGATAAGATTAATATTTTTATGCACAACATTGTGATAATTATTAAACATAATAGTAAACATAATGAATTATAATACTTGTAATGAATTATCTGTTATATGATTTACATATTACCTTACTCAATATTTTGTTTATTTCCGAATTTTCTATTTTATAATGGATCTTTTTTGGTGAATGGACCCTTTTTTGGCATAAAACTTTTTCTGGCCCCTCCCACCCCAAGTAGGCTTTATTTTTTAAAGTAGTTTTAGGTTTACAGAAGAGTTGTACTGAAAGTTCATAGAGTTGATACATTATTGTCATCTAATGTTCATAGTTTCCATTAGCATTCATTCTCTGTGTCTTACAGGCTTAAGGGTTTGGATAAATACATAGCATCATGTCCACCACTGATTTTTTCACTTCTCTCTAGTTTTGCCTTTTCCAGAATGTCGTATCATTGGAATCATATAGTACATGAAAAACATTTTTAAATTTCTCATTGTTTCCTCAGGAAAGATTGCTGGTGGTGGAATGACTGGGCTAATGATTATAAACATTGTTTAAGACAATGAGATTAATGTTTGTGTTTGCTTTCTGGAAAAAAAAGAAAAAACACCACAACAAATCTATTCCACTTCACCTGCACCAACAATTAAGAACGCTTTACACAGCATGCCCTTTCACTAGCAAGTTCATGTTCGTTTTGATTGTTATTTTTGTTCTTTTACCCTTTTTAAAGTTATTTGGCAACATCTGGTTGTCCATGGCCAGCCTGGTGATCTTTATGCAGCTGCGCTATTTGTTTCATGAGGTACAGCGCCGGATCCGTCGGCACAAAAACTATTTGCGTGTGGTGGGAAACATGGAAGCCAGGTAAGTAAGCACAAACCAACTATTGCCAAATTAACTAATTTTAACTTTCTAATCATAATGAATCCTAGATCCTGTCAGAATTGCTCTGGTAAACTGTCAACAGGGTGGTGAAGAATATAGGCTCTGGAATCAGACCACATGTGTGTGAATTCCCACTTAGTTTCTGTGCAGTTTGGAGCAATGTTTTTAACTATCTGTGCCCGTTCATGCATCTTTGCATTAAAGGATGATACTAGAACCTTCTTCCTAGAGTTTTAGGAGAGTCTAAACTACTAATGCATGAGATATGCATGGTCTTGGCATGGAAAGGTCCTCAGTAAATATTAGCTATTTTTTGTGTCATGTTATCATGACTTTGATTCAATGAATGCCTCCTTGAGCTTCTGTCCTTTTTATTTTGTGAACATGGGGCTCATTTCTTTCTTACACATGTACATGTCCACACAATCTTACTGTCATTGAAGGAGATACTCACTTGCCAACCTGAGATGGTAAGCTTGAAGGTGTAAAATGAGTATGTATCCTGTGTGTGTTCAGGGAAACAGTTTGAATCTCTGGGGGTTTTATTCCTCTGCTTTGCCCATGAATGCTCCCTGGAGTCCTCACTAACAGGAGTCATCATTAAGGTGAAGTTATACACAGGTTTCTCAAGCTTTAGCTGTCTGTGTACTGCATTTGTTCATTGGGAGTGTATTACTGCACACAGTTCTTTGTAACTGCACTGTATAAAGATGAAGTCTGTGAAATGGTGCTTGGTCAGTGTGTGTGGAACCTACAGATTCATGCTGGGCTCTGTCTGTCTGTGTTTACAGGTTTGCGGTCGCAACTCCTGAGGAGCTGGCTGTCAATAATGATGACTGTGCAATCTGCTGGGACTCTATGCAGGCTGCAAGAAAACTGCCCTGTGGACATCTTTTCCATAAGTAGGAGCTCCAGGAAGGGCCAAATGAGACTGGTGGTCTGTCTAGGACATGTGGGGGCTTTTTGTATGTGGGCTTGATTAATCCTAGCAGAAGTTGGGCTGTTCTCTTGATCAGGCCTCGGGGTGCCCTTCATCCCTTCATCTCTTCCTTACATTGTCAGACTCTTGCTGTTTGGCATTTCTGGGTGGTGCCAGCTGTGAACGTGCTCAGCTGCTAACTGGAAGGTTGGAGCTTTGACTCCACCCAGAGGCACCGTGGAAGAAAGTCCTGGTGATCCATTTCTGAGAAAAATCAGCCATTGGAAACACTGGAGCACAGTTCTATTCTGACATACGTGGGATTGCCATGAGTGGAGTCGACTCCATATAACTGTTGACAATTTGCCATGTTAGTTTCTCAGTAGGTGGTGGCTGTTGTTAAGTAGATGTCGAGTCAGTTCTGACTCAGTGAGCCAGTATCATGTTTCTGAGGACGGACTGGTGGGTTTGAACTGCCACTTTGTGGTTAGCAGCCCGGTGTTCATCCTACAGTGCCACACTAGGACTTACTTGTAGGTTAGCTATCTTCTTATGTTTTTTTTTACCCAGTCAAAGTATAAAATGTACTGGTTTATAGTCACAGATATGTGTCACCACCACCACAATCCAATTCAGAACATTTCCATTACCTCAGAAAGAAACCTCAAACTCTGTAGCTCTCACCTTCAAGCTCCCACCCTCATTCCTACTAGTGGATGTTGAACTCATGGTAACCCCATGTGTGTCAGAGTGGAACTGTGCTCCATACGATTTTATTGTATTTATTTTTTTTAAAGTTTTTATTGTGAATTATGTGATAGTTTACATTGGAGAACATTAGCTTTACATTCATACTATCGTATATTGTTTCATTGCTATGATTACAGTCCCCTCCATGCATCGTCAAACAACCAAAGACTGTACCCCGCAAGCCTGCCCCTCAGTCATCAGCACATAGCCCCTCTCCCTCTCTGGGTCTAGAGTCCCCAGCCACTCACATCTCTCCACGTCATCGCCTCTGCCTCCATCTCTGGTGTCACTGTTTCTCTGGGTAGGGTCCTGCACTCTGCTCTTCTCCCTTGATGGTCCCACAGACCTCCGCTTCTGGACTGTAATGTTAACCACTCCCCTCCTTTTGCTACAAAACGTCTCCCTTTACATTTCCAACCCTCACAATCAGTCCTGTTAGCAATTATTGACTGTTGTACCACAAAAGTCCTATTCCCATCTCCTTTCATCAGCCCCATCCAGACAGATTGGATACTATTCAGTGGAGATTCTACCTTCCTTTGCGCTTTCTGGATCTAGACTCCCTCTTGAAAGCTTGTAAGCCAGTCACTTCTTTTTTTTTTTAATGTTTTATTGTGAATTATATGATTGTTTACATGGGAGAACTTCAGTTTTACATTCATTCCATCGTATATCATCTCACTGCCATGGTTCCAATCCCCTCCATGCATCCGCAACCACCCAAAGGGTAT